TCCACGATTTTCTTCTTTTTTTTTTGACTATCTACACGCACAAGACAGACACACAAAGGCATATATACGCTTTCACTCACGTATTATCCACACAAACTCACATTAATACTCACTTATAATCAGGTTCTTGTGTGTGTAATAATAATGTCATTCTGGCTTCCTAGCGTGTTTGAATCGTAGATTTTTTCGTCGATACAATATTTAGTGGGGCAGTAAGAGAGAGAGAGAGAGAGAGAGAGAGAGAGAGAGAGAGAGAGAGAGAGAGAGAGAGAGAGAGAGAGAGAGAGAGAGAGAGAGAGAGAGAGAGAGAAAGAGAGAGAGGGAGAGAGAGAGAGAGAGAGAGAGAGAGAGAGAGAGAGAGAGAGAGAGAGAGAGAGAGAGAGAGAGAGAGAGAGAGAGAGAGAGAGAGAGAGAGAGAGAGAGAGAGAGAGAGAGAGAGAGAGAGAGAGAGAGAGAGAGAGAGAGAGAGAGAGAGAGAGAGAGAGAGAGAGAGAGAGAGAGAGAGAGAGAGAAAGCAGCTATAGACACAAACTGGAAAAAATGCATAGTGATAATGAGCCTGTGTGACAAAGAGACAGAGAGAAAAAAAGAAAAGGAGGGAAAAAGGAGAGGGGGGGAGTCATAACGACATATACAAAAAGACACGAGATAGAGCAAGAGAGACAGAATACATACACGCGTGGGTACGAAGAACTTTATAATTCATTTCCTAACAAATAGCTCACATATACATAAATGTGTTTGTTCATTAAATCCGTGTTAATCCTAATATCCTGCGGCTTTCGGGTTCACTACTACCTCCGATTATAGAAAATTGGAAGTTGTTCATATTGTGCGCACTCAACGGCAAATCGGGAACTGTGAAGTGTTGGAGGCAAAGTCCGCTATTCGACAGAGAAATTTTAATATTTAATGAGACCTTTTGTTTCTTTTATTATGCTAAATCTATGCCGGTGGAAATATTTGTTTTAGTCATTTGTTTGTGTATCCATTCACGCATTTTTACACTGATCTGTATTTTCTTCCTCGTTTTATGAACCTTTTGTTTTGTTCTGTTTTGTTTAAGCAACGTATGTTAAAATGGCTAAAACACCACCATATGTTCAAGTTTAATTTTCGGAATTCCTATGAAGCCATAAAATCAAATCAGACAATAGGTCTTACGTCCAGCATGTTGGAGGAAATACCCAACTAATTGCTAATTTTCCAGGTAAACATAATCTCGCCTAAGCAAATTATGTTTCCTTATCTTTATATCGATGTGTCATTTTTCATTGTATGACAAGTTTGTTATTTCATTATCGTTTCTTCGATCTGTTTATCTGTTAAATCCCCTATTAACATGCCTTTTTCAACACATTTATATCTTTTTAATCTACATTCCATTTTTTGTTTCTAAATCAAGATTCCTTAACGATCCCAGTAAGACTGACTTCTAACTCCTTTCGTATGCTACCAAAATGTTAGTCTTCAGTATACATTAAATGCGGTCGTTCCAATATTTCTTTCTAAACTGCCTCGCTGTAACTAAACATGGAACATGGAAATGAACGCGAAGGCATAAATAAATGGATAAGTGATGTTCGAGAGACGAAGGGAGAGGAAAAAAGGGGCCATAATATATTGGAACTGAAGTACTAGACATAATATTGTACGAAAATGAAAATCGCATTCATATGTGTGTGTGTTTTTGTGCATATATATACATAAACACACACACATATATGTGGTTGTGCATACACACACACACACACACATATGTATATATGTGTGTGTGTATGTATGTGTGTGTGTGTGTGTGTGTGTGTGTGTGTGTGTGTGTGTGTGTGTGGTGTGTATGTGTGTATGTATATATATATATATATATATATATATATATATATATATATATATATATATATATATATGTATATGTTAAATATATATGTGTATATACACATTTATGTATATATATTCATATACATATTTGTTTGTTTGTTTATTTATTTGTTATATATATGTATGTATATATACACATATACATATACTATATATATATATATATATATATATATATATATATATATATATATATATATATATATATATATATATATATATATATATATATTATACATACATCTAGTGAGAGAGAGACAGACAGACAAACAGGGGTACACAAAAACCCAGTGCTCCAGAGACCAGATTCGAAATCCCCCCCTAAATGAAAATAGGCACCTATATTTTCCATCGAAACCAAACCAAGATTAGTTTTCCGGCCGTATTCAGCAACGGAGCCTATTGATATGCACGGTCAATCAACACGTCTATGGCATCAGTTTCCATACAAATACGAGATGTGGCGTGGGAATACACTGGGGTGTTCCAAATGCAAATGGATTTTTTTATTGTCAAGAAGGGACTTCGTACAAGAGAGATGTATAAATATACTTACATACGTACATGCATACATATATACATACATACATACATACATACATACGCACACACGCACGCACAC